TTGTTGTGGTACTGCCGGCACGTTGGCCTCTCTCACAAGGTGGCGTGAGCGAATTAAATTTGCCACACTGGCTCAGGCCTCGCCTCGAAAGCTTCCCGAAACGAACTGGCAAAAGCATCTTTATCAACTGTGCATTTCGCAATCCCACCGTAATTCCAGAGTAACCGGGTGGGCTCGTCCACTGGGGCAGGCTCGATTTTGAGAATCTGGTCCCAGTCAACCGAGACGGTACCCTTATGTTTGTCTGCCCTCCGTGGCAGCTCAGAGGTCTTGAACCTTTTTGATGTCGAACGCCTTCCTTGTCTGGATTTCGGACTTAATATGTTTGCCGTTCTTGCCCAAGGAGACGTACAAATTCTTCAACTCCCCCGTAACGGCAAGTGCACGCAAGTCTCTCCACTTGCCATGGTTGCGGAGTAAATCGGATGCTTTTTGAACTCGTCGCGATACTAAACCAGATGCCCCTTTGAATCGGAGAATGAGGCGTTTAGCAGGCGTAGTACCTCTAAGAGTCGCGTAGTACAACTCGCCAACCCAATCTTCTATGGACTTGAGGGCCTCCATGGTGGTGAAGAGCTCCGCGCAAGACAGCTTGAAGATAGTAGGGTCCGAGTCCCTTTCCCAATTCGACCCGTTCGTCGGTGAAGGAATGGGAATGGAGGCTTCGGCCTCGGCAGTGATCTTCAGGATCTTCTCGATGGAAGCTTGCATCTCTTTCTGGTCGTGCTGTAATGCAGTCTGCTTCGCGTTCAAGTCGCCCATCTGCGTCTCGAGCTGCACGAAACATCTCATCCGAGGAACTTCAACATCTCCCGCCTCAAAAACACATGCCCGCGCCGTGCTGCGCCGATGCGAGACCGCCAGTGGAACCCCATCGAAGGGTAAAGCACAAGGAAGTATCGAACGACAGGATTGCCTTGGTAGGGATGGGGGCTGTCGGCGGTGAGGCAAGGACCTGGCCCTGAATAGAAAGGGAGGAAGTCTCGAGCAGGGCTGCTGTTGTAGCTGGGAGCCGCGCCAATGCTGAAGAGAGTAGGGCGCTAGTCCAGCGTAAAACAAAACGAAGTCTCGAGCGGGAACGCTGGTCTTGCTGGGACGGCGGCTTTCGGCGGCGAGGAAGAATACCGCTTTGAGTAAGAAAGGAGACAGCGTCGAGCAGGAGCCGTGGTTTTGTCGGGACGGGGGCTGTCGGCGGCGAGGAATAGCACCGTCCCGAGGAAACAAAAAAAGGAAATCTCGAGGAGCGCTGTTCTTGCTGGGAGCGGCGCCAATGCAAAAGAGAGTTGGGCGCCAGTCCAGCGTAAAACGGAAGGAAGTCTCGGGCGGGAGCGCTGGTCTTGTCGGGGCGGCAGTTTTCGGCGGCGAGGAAGAATACCGCCTTGAATAAGAAGAGAGGAAGCATCGAGCGGGAGCCGTGGTTTTGTGGGGACGGGGGCTGTCGGCGGCGAGGAACAGCACCGTCCCGAGGAAACAAAAAAAAGAAAATCTCGAGGAGCGCTGTTCTTGCTGGGAGCGGCGCCAATGCAAAAGAGAGTTGGGCGCCAGTCCAGCGTAAAACGGAAGGAAGTCTCGGGCGGGAACGCTGGTCTTGTCGGGGCGGCAGTTTTCGGCGGCGAGGAAGAATACCGCCTTGAATAAGAAGAGAGGAAGCATCGAGCGGGAGCTGTGGTTTTGTCGGGACGGGGGCTTTCGGCGGCGAGGAACAGCACCGTCTTCAGGAAAAAGGGAGGAAACCTCGAACGGGAGCGTTGTTCGTGCTGGGAGCGGCGCCAATTCAAAAGAGAGTTGGGCGCCAGTCCAGCGTAAAACGGAAGGAAGTCTCGGGCGGGAGCGCTGGTTTTGTCGGGGCGGCGGTTATCGGCGGCGAGGAGGAGCACCGCCTTTAGTAAAATGGGAGGAAGCCTCGAGCGGGAGCGTTGTTTTTGCTGGGGGCGGCGCCGATGAGAGAAAGACTAGCGCGCCAGTCCAAGGTAAAGCGGGAGGAAGTCTTGAGCGGGAGCGCTGGTTTTGTTAGGACGGCGGCTTTCGGCGGCGAGCAAGAACACCAGCCCTGAGTAAAAAGGAGGAAGTCTCGAGCGGGATCGTTGTTGTTGTTGGGGGGCCTGTTTTGGCGGTCCCCCAAACCGCTCGAGCGTGAGCCTCATGTTCAATGAAAATGTAGCCGGCGTCTCGGCGAGAGCGCCAGGGCGCCTGTAGGGGGTCCAAAAATAATAATTGATTCGTAACTGACATTCAACAACAACAATAACAATAATAACAACAACAACAACAACAACAACAACAACAACAACAACAACAACAACAACAATATAAAAACCGCAACAGCAACAACAACAACAACAACAACAACAATAACAACAACAACAACGACAACAACAACAACAGTAACAACAACAACAACAACAACAACAACAACAACAACAACAACAACAACAACAACAACAACAACATCAATAACAACAACAACAACAACAACAACAACAACAACAACAACAAGGTACACCCCGGGACTGCGACCCCGTCACCCCCGGTTCCTCTCCCGGGCTCCCCCCCCTGGCGCAACCCGGACCTGCCGCCCCGTGCGGACCACCCCCCCCCCCCCCACACCAACCAACCAACCAACCAGCTCTCGCTGCAACACAAAAAAAAACTGTATATCACCTATGGGGAGGAGGAGGAGGAGGAGGAGGAGGAGGAAGGACGAGGAGGAGGACGGAGGGAGGAGACGGTGGCAGGAGGAGGAGGAAGGAGGAAGGAGGAGGAGGAGGAAGGACGACGAGGAGGACGGAGGGAGGAGACGGAGGGAGGAGGAGGAGGAAGGAGGAGGAGGAGGAGGAATGAGGAAGGATCGCCAAGGACAGCCCTTGATCCAGGATGGCTACAGATAGCTCAGCAGGGCAGGGAGGAGCAGCCAGAGGAAAGAGTGGAACGAGGGGGAGCTAATGAGGAACGAAAGGGGAGAGTGGGGTGGGGCGGCTGGGAGGGAGGGAGCAAGTAGGGAGCTACTCCACCCTCCTCCTCCTCCTCCTCCTCCTCCTCCTCCTCCTCCTCCTCCTCATCATCATCATCCCCACCACCACCACCACCATCACCATCATCACCATCACCATCACCATCACCATCAAGATCACCATCACATCATCACCATCACCATCACCATCATCATCATCATCATCATCATCATCATCATCATCATCATCATCATCATCATCATCTCACATCAGCACATCAGCATCAGCATCATCATCATCACATCCATCATCATCATCATCATCATCACACATCATCATCATCATCAGCAGCAGCAGCATCAGCATCAGCAGCATCATCATCAGCATCATCATCCTCATCCTCATCATCATCATCTTCAGCAGCATCATCACCATCACCATCACCATCACCATCTCCACCACCACCACCACCACCACCACCATCATCATCATCATCATCATCATCAGCAGCATCATCATCATCAGCATCAGCATCAGCATCAGCATCAACATCAACATCAGCATCATCATAAGCATCATCATGAGCATCATCACCACTATCATCATCATCATCCTCATCATCATCATCATCATCACCATCAGCATCATCATCAGCATCATCATCAGCATCAGCATCAGCATCAGCATCAACATCATCATCATCAGCAGCATCAGCATCAGCATCATCATCATCATCAGCAGCATCAGCATGATCATCATCAGCATCATCATGATCACCACAACCACCACCATCATCATCAGCATAACCATCATCATCAGCATCATCATCATCAGCATCACCATCAACATCATCATCAGAATCATCAGTATCTGCATCATCACCATAATCGTCATCATCGTCATCATCACCATCCTCATCTCATCATCATCAACATCATCATCGTCATCAATATCCTCATCATCATCATCATCATCATCATCATCATCATCATCATCATCATCATCATCATCATCATCATCATCATCATCATCATCATCATCATCATCGCCGTCATTATCATCATAATCGTCCCCCTCCCCTCATCATCGTCCCTCCTTCCACTCATTATCATCGTCATCATCCCTCCCCTCCCGTCCCTCCTCCCTCCCCTCCAGCCCCTCCTGCTGCCGCTGCTTCCCTTTCCGCTCCCCAGAAGACATAAAGAGAGCGAGGAAGATAGAGAGACAGAGACAGAGACAGAGACAGAGACAGAGAGAGAGAGAGAGCGCACGCACGCACGCACGCACAAACGCACACACGCTCTCTGGCGGCCGCATGAAACGTAGACTGAAAGAGAAAACGCGCCGCATTGAATAGCAATATCCCTAATGAGCCTTGGTGAACCTTGAGGAAGACGCCCAAGACGGCCCTCCAGGCCCCCCAGACGGCCCCAGACGGCTCCAAAGGACCCCCCCAGACGGCGAGTGGGACCCCAGGATGGCCCAAGAGGGCCCCCAGAAGGGGGGGAATCGGGGGGAGGGGTTGGTTGGTTGGTGTGGGGGGGGGGGGCTGGGGGGCCAAACCCGGTGTCTTTCAACAACAACAACAACAACAACAACAACAACAACAACAACATTTGCCCTTCCTTCCCTTTGCTGTCTTCTCTCTGCTGCCCCTCTGTCACTCCGCTCGGGGGGAATATGAGGGGAGGGCCGGCTCAGGGAGGGAAATATCGACCTGGAATCGGCGATGAGTCCCCGATTGCGAATTCGCACGCTCACGAGCGGGGTGGAATATCGGGCCCCCATCGACGATCAATGGGCGATTGGGGGTCGCGATGCATCCAACCCTGGGCCTATCCGCCCCTGGCGTTGCCTCCTGGCTCTCGGGTCGTGGCTCGGCTCCTGGGCGACCGTTCGGGACGATCCAGGCACCCCCAGGACGCCCTCGACGAGGCGCAGCTGACGAAGACCACCCCGGGCTTCGATAACGTGCGAAAACTCAAACTTTCGAGACCTTGCCACTAACGCTGCCCCTCTTTCCCTCTGCGCCCCCGCCCGGCCGCCCGCCTCCGTCTGGCGCGGCCCGCGCCGCCATCGTCGGCGGCTCCCTGGCGTGCTCGGCGCCGACGTCGGCGGGCCACGTGGCGGGCCGCCGCGCGGGCGCCTCGCCGGGCGGGGGCCACCAGCGGACCACGACGACGACACCACCACCACCACCACGACCACGACGAGGAGGATTACGAGGACGAGGAGGAGGAGGAGGAGGAGGAGGAGGGGCAGAGACCGTCGAATCGTACGTCCAGAGTGGGGGCGGAAGTAATTGCACTTACGATGGCGAACTGCACAGGTTGTCTAAAGCCGGCAGCGATCGCTGTTGACAGCAACTGTTATTTAAAACCGACAGCGGCCGCTGTGAGGAATGCGACATGCTGTCTCCAACTGACACTGTCCGCGGCAATACCGTCAGCGAAGCCTGTTCAAGATGGGCAGGGCATGATGTCGCTCCTTCGAACCGACTCTTTCAGCACCGACTTCCACCCTCCACAGTGCACCAGCCACCGACGGCGCCTCGCTGGCGCGCTCGCCCCCGCCGCCAGCGGGCCACATGGCGGCCCACGGCGCCAGCGCCGCCTCGCCGCGCACGGGGCCGCCGGCGACCGCTGCCGCCGCCCAGTTGGTGGCGGCGTCGACGCCTTCATCGCCATTGGGCGGCGGCGGCGTCGTCTGAGCCCGCGTCGGCGTCGTCGGCGGCGTCGGCAGCGGCGTCGTCGGCATCGGCATCAACGTCGTCAGCGGCGTCGAGGGGGTCGTCGTCGGCGTCGGCGTCGGCGTCGGGATCTCCGTCGGCGTCGGCGGCGCCGGCGACGTCGACGACGTCGTCGGCGGCGTGGCCTCGCCGCCGCCAGGCGCGGGGCGACGCATTCGCCCGCCGCGGAGCGCGCTCGGGGAGGCGCGGCGCGCGGGCGGCCGCGCGCGCTGCCGGCGGCGGTCGGCCCTTTGAGGCCGGCGCCGGCGCGCACGCGTCGCTACTCCGCCGCCGCCTCGCCCGACCTCCTCACGTCGTGAGAACCTCTCGACGAGAGACTTCTGGAAGACTTCGGCCTCTGGGGGCCCTCGCAGGCCCAGGGGCCGTCCACAAACGACTCAGGATGGAAAGCCGTTCCCCTGGAAGAGGTCGAGGCCTCTCGGGAGCCCGCGCTGCGAAAAATGAACCGGGCGCGACCGCAAGTAGGGGAAAACCTATTGCATGGGCGCATCGCTGGGCGCATTGCTTGGCATTGCTTGGCATTGCTCGGCATTGCTCGGCACCCGAGGAACCCCAGGCCGAGAATCCCGAGAAACCCGAGGAACAACGAGGAACCCGAAGAACCCGAGGACCCGAAGATACCGAGGAACCCGAGGAACCCGAGGAACCCGAGGAAACCGAGGAACCCGAGGAATCTCTGGGGAACGGGCAACGTACCCCACCGAGGCGTCATTCTTCTTAACCAAGTAAGAACCCATTAGGCATGCCAACTTGGGAAACACAAAACTTCGGAAGTCTGGCTCCTTCTCCTCCGCTCCACCGTTCTCCGTTCTCAATCTGGTTTCACTGCTCCTCTCGTTTTTTGTTGTTCATGTTTTCTCCTCGTGTTCCTCCTCGCCCTCCTCCTCCTCCTGCTTTCTCCTTCGCATCAACCTCCTCTCTTTCTTATTACTAATAGTATTAGTAGCACAAGGGATAGCAATAGTATAATTAGTCGAATTATTACTGCGGCTACTACTACTACTACTACTACTACTACTACTACTACTACTACTACTACCACTACTACGACTACTACGACTACTACGACTACTACGACTACTACTACTACTACTACTACTACTACTACTACTATTACTACTACTACTACTACTACTACGACTACTACTACGACTACGACTACGACTACTACTACTACGACTACGACTACTACTACTGACTACTACTACTACTACGACTACTACTACTACTACTACGACTACTACTACTACTACTACTACTACTACTACTACTACTACGACTACGACTACTACTACTACTACTACTACTACTACTACTACTACTACTACTACTACTACTACTACTACTACTACTACTACTACTACTACTACTACTACTACTACTACTACTACTACTACTACTACTACTACTACTACTACTACTACCTACTACCTACTACCTACTACCTACTACCTACCTACTACTACTACTACTACTACTACTACTACTACTACTACTACTACTACTACTACTACTACTACTACTACTACTACTACTACTACCCTGTTGCACCACCAGACGTCTCGTCAGGGCAGACTGGGCGTTTCGCCTGCGCGCTCATCACCATTTAGGATATTGAACTTGAAGTTCCCAACAGCTACACCGATGGAAATCAGCGGGTAATCGCCGTGGCGCCGCGCACACTCGTCTCAAGAAAATTGACTGCTACACAGATGGAAAGAAGCACGTCTTCAGAATGGGACCCTCGCCTTTGCGATGCGCACACTGGGCATACAAAAATCCAGCGATTAGGCGGATGAGGTGTGGCTCTTTTTCAAAATGGGGCCCTCGTCTGCGACGTCCTCGAACAATACTACCACAGGTGAACGGTTGCGCAACCGTTACACGAATTGATAGCGGCTCCTTGTCAATCTTGGGCTCTCGTCTGGATTTTCGTTAAATGTCCCGACCAAAAGTGGGCAAACAAATGAGCAACGGCCCTCACGGATGGAGGGCGGTTCCTTTCCGAAGTGGGGCTGTCGTTGGGCCTCTTCTCTTGAGCGTTAAGACCATCATGTTGCAATCCTTGCATGTCGAAAAAAGGAAAGTCCGCCCATTCAAAAAGGAGTTCCCGCCTGAATTGCGGGCCACCGGAGCGCTCGTCCTTCTAAGGGGGCGATAGGAATCTAGAGATTATGTTCGTCCTCCTCCAACTCTGTATCGCCTCCTCGCCATCATCATCTCTACCCACCACTTAAGGCCCGATCCCGCATCCCTCCTTTCCCTCCTCCTCCCCCGCCTCCTCATCATCATCAGCATCGTCATCGGACTCATCATCCGCATCATCATCGTCATCGTCATCGTCATCGTCATCACCATCACCATCACCATCATCAACATCGTCATCATCATCACCACCACCACCATCCCTGCCCCTATGTTTACAACCATGTCCCACATGATCACTCCCCTTCCCGGCACCTATCACCCACCTGCCCCCGCACTCACCCACCTCCTTCCATATTTCGTCCAGACAGGAAAAGCCGCGCCTAGACGGCGCATCGGCAAATGATTCGGCAACTCGTAGTGTACATTTGCGGTGGCGCGCAGGCGCATGCAAGTGAACAGCTGCGCGGTGCGTCGGAGAGGTCGTCGTATTCTTTGCACCAACGAAGTGCGAGGGAAACCTGCGCGGCGATCTGGAGGAGGCGGAGGGAGGGAGGCAGGGAGGAAGGGAGCAAGGGAGGGAGGAACCCTGGGAACGATACAAAATTAAAGAGAAAATGTATCATCGAAGCTGGGTCAAATGAGCAACTGGAGGCGCAGAAAGCGAACACTGTTGCTACAAATTACACTGTCTGTGTGCACTGATCGACTGCAGCTTCCCATTGTGGGCAGCGCAACAAATACTGCTAACGTTCGGGGTCGTGCCCCGCCACACTCAAAGCCCGGGCGTGCACGTACGTTGTCCATTGTACTCGTGGTCGGCCTCTTTCGCGCAAGATGTCTTTTCACCTCCGCGGGAGAAGCTCTTGCTCATGCTCATGTTCAGATACCACTGTCCTTGGAAATGCCGTCGACGGAGACTTGGCAAACTTACCGTAATACTTCAATTGCCGCTGCAATAAAAGAGTCGATAGTTGTTGTGCCTTCGCTGTCTCTCGTACTTCAGCATTGCTTACGCGAGAAACAAATGCTGGTGGGATCTTGTAAGTTCTCTGGAGGCACCGCGCTTGGGAGCCATCGAGCCGATCCATATCCATTGATAGTAAGAGACATGATTCCAATCCATACAACAATTTCGACAAGGCTTCCAATATTCGTGTTTTCTTTTGTCCGCTCACATTTGCGTGATTCCACACAGCGCACAGTTGTTGGAAAGCGCCTTTCGCTTCCCCAAGCCGCCTCGTGAGTTCAGCGCGCGGGTTCCCATCGGAATTTAGAAGCCCTCCCAGGTAGATTGCATGATCTTTGCATTGGAAGTCTTCCCCCACAGGCCCATGTATGGCAGCGTCTGAACGAATCCTGATGAGAATCGTTTATCCCTCGTTCAATGCCAACCCACAAATTTCCCCAACGGTCGCCACGATATCTAAATGGCGTTGCAATGCGTCCGGCTGGTCCGCGAGAATCATCGCGTCGTCGGCATACAAGATGTCCCGTGTAACGAGATCGCTTGTACTGCATGTTTCGGCGTTGTTGCTCAACTCGTTGTCCACGGCTTCCATAAGAACAGACATGAGGATTATGAAAAGATAAGCAGATAGAGGGCACCCATGAGCAATGCCAGTATTTTGCGAACGTTGTGAAAATGTGTGATGCCCTTCTCTTACAACAAATTTCCGCGCTGTGTAAATACCCTGGATCATATCAATCATAGCCTCAGGGATGTGAAATTGACGTAATGCGCGCAACAGCCCGTCGGGCTTAATACGATCAAACGCCTTGCTCCAATCCAACAATAGATGAAGCAGAACTCCATGCTTGTTTTCAAGCGTTGCGTCAATGAGGCGGCGTGCCAGAAACAGAGCGTCGGAAGTGCCCCTCTTAGGTCGGGAACCGCATTGGGATTCCCGGAATCGTTTGTCAACGCCTCCGGTTTTGAGGCGGTGCAAAATAATGCTCGCAAGCACTTTGTACCCAACTGCCAATAAGGAAATGGGCCTGTAATTGCTCGGCTCTGACGTATCCCCCTTCTTGAAAATCGTGACAATAGAAGGTATTTCCTTCTGATTCCAACAAGTCGAACATAAATCACGTAGAGAATTTCCAATGCCGCACTGTTCGACCATAGCGCGTGCCATAAATCCGGAGGTATTCCATCGTTCCCAGCTGCTCTACCAACTCTTAGAGATTTGATTGCGCGGCGCATTTCCTCCATCGTGATATCTTCCGCATTGATGTCCCAAAAGGTGTCG